TAACATATATCAATCAATGTCAAGTCTATTCATTTTGAACTATTTTTTGATGTCGTTGTTGAGGACGTTTTTGTTCTTTGGGCTTGACGAAATTTGTTTGATCACCATTTCCAAGTATTAAATTTCGATAGATATATGCAACAATATCTTTATTTGATACCATTGCATATCGAGGATCTTCACGAATTATTTTATAAAATTCATAAAGTTGTTGATTGCTTATTGGTGATTTATGTTCATTAACATCATTCGATGTTTCAGGTACTGGTGTAGCTTGAATAATAGCGACGAAAATTAGTAAAAGACCAACAAGGGTAATATTAAACAGTGAAACCATGTTGTACAAGATTTAATTAATCGAGTTGAATGTCTATCAATAGAACAATACAGATACTAAAATATAAAGATATTCATACAATAAATCTATTCTATTCTATATTTTCTTTTGTAAATAATTAAATGATATTTTGTATTTAAATTGAAAGAAATCTATTAGTTCTTGCCGGAAAAATATCCAGTCAATAATGATTTAATTTACTCGAAATAATAACTAGTTTAATATACAAAACAATATTTCTATAGGATAAAATCTGTCTAAACACTTGAATTTCCTTAGATATGTCACGAAGAACAAGAAATCTGTAGATATAGTGACATAATATGAAGAGTTTGTCTTAATATATTATCTACTTAATAGTCTTAGAATAAATTTGTAACAAAAACTATGTTTACTTGTGATAAGAAAAAAAAATCTTCTTCTTCTTCTTATTATTATTCTATAGTTCTCATTGGAAAAATAAATATGAAATATTTCAAATCTATATACTATCTATGATAAACTCAATAAGAAGAAACATGCGTGCATGTCAACATCCGTCTTTATATTTCCTTGGATGATTCTTTCTCTGATCTTTTTATCTATTGGGGTATGTGAGGAAAATATTTAAATTATAGATGAAAACACAAAAATTCTAGCGCTGATAGATTTGCTCTTGACATCAACGCTGTTATTGTAATCAGATTCATTACATACTAATATAGTTATAAAAAAAAGATATTAGAAAATAACATGAACAAACAACTAGAAAGTAATGAAAATAGAAATATGCATTCTTATTCTATTATCAAATATATTCGACGAATTTTTTTGACAGAATCATGGCAATCAATGACATAAAAATATAAAATATGCCTCGTTGACGTCTTCCGCTTTTATTCTCATTGTTCGTCACTATCATTAGTCAATAGATGAGTTTGTTTTTTAGTACCCTAATGAATACTCACATACATAAACAAAACAAAAAATATACAATATTTAATTCAAACAACATTCAATTCATAATTATATAACTATTTCTAATAAGAGTAACAAGTGTTGTAAGAAACAGAGCATTGTTAATTATTACTTACAGGTTAATATTACGATGTTCTATGTAAGGAACTGAAAGAAATAATATGTAAGAGAACTATCATATATATAGAGAGAGAGCGATAGACGATAATCTGAGAGAATAGTATATGTAAATAATCAAAGACTACCGAATAAATAAGTTAGCTAATATTGACAGACATTCACCAGACCACTATCAAATCTCGAGATTATTCTTTCATAATTGAAAAATAGATTTTGATTGTTAACAAAATATTTGCTGAACTATAATTATAACACAAAATCGTTCTATAGACAATTAATAACTAAGATGAGGAGTTTAGGAGGTGACAATTTATTTTAACCTTACCAAGAAAAGTAAAAATACTTCAACTTTACTTTACCGAATAAAGTATTTTTCACTTTATTAGAAAAACTAAAGTGGAGAAACTTTGAATTTTTTTATCTATCTATGAAAAATATTGTTTCTAGTTTTACTCTGCCGAATAAAGTTCAATTACTTTACTTTAACCGGTAAATTAAAGTTCAGTATTTTACTTTGCTCTTTCAAAGCAAAAGAAAAATTGAAGTGTTACTCCTTGATGAGTTACTCGTAGAAGGAAAAATGTCAAAATGTGAACTGCCTAGATCTCCGAGATCAAAAAAATGCATCGTCATAAAAATCATGTTTTTGGTTTCTTCGGAAAGATAACTGTAATTCACTCGGGATATACAAGTTAATAAAATTTGTAAAAGAAAAAATATCTAATATTATATTTCTGATAACATAAAAATAAAAATATGAAAACATAGATTAAATATTTTTGTGACTTCATGTCTACAAGATGATCTGTTATTATGAACAGATTATTTATTTATCGAATTCACGTCAGTCATCGGTTATTTTTATAAGAAAGGCACTTTCTTTTATTAAAAAAATTATTTCTTAATAAAATAAAATAATCGTTTGTTTACCTTCAAGGAAAATTCATTTATTCTATTTTTATTATACTAACGGCTGTATTATAGTTATATGAAAGCAATATATTAAAAAAGAATGTCCTTTGAAAATTCTATAACACAAATTACAAAAAAAAAGTTGTAGAAAGTAAATATTTAATTACAATTGAATGCACATATAATTTCATTATATTTGAAAATAATTTAAAAGAGTATTAGTTCAATATTTATGTATGAATATTTACTTACTCCAAACGAGTAAAACTTATCATATAATTATGTACATATTTTGATATAAACAATATCAACATATATATATGTCGGAGTACAGAATGAAATTCAGATCAGTTTAAAATTTTCGGTCAAATTATTCGTAGTTGACTGGTTGATGATACATGTTAGAGTGTGTGGCAAATGATGATACATGAATATGAAACTATTACCCGTATTCTCGCGCTCGCCCTCACGGACTATCCATCGAAATGTTTCTATTTCAATCCGAACTGGGACATATTAATATATATGAATCTGACCTAGTTCAGATCAAGATATGTCAGTCTGTCCTAGTTCAATTTAAAATTTTAATGTCAACTAGGACAATTTTAAACTGAACTGAATTTCATTCTGTACTCCGACATAGACATAGATTATTCAAAATTTTGTCATAGTTTGTTGTATAGATAATTAACAGAGATTCCGTACTACTATGTTCACATAATAAAATGAGAGATCATTATCATTCTGAAAAGAATTAATAAATAAAGCTTTTTATTCAATACATTATTCAAAATAGATGCAATTATCAAATCAATCCTATAATAAAATTAGTCGATAATCGATTGACCTTACTCGCTATTCATTTGATGTTTATGTTCAACTAAATTATTCATGGATTTTTAATTGCTATCTACATTACCATACACGACTAAATATATTTGTATTGATTCAAAAATAAATAACAAATACTTATCATAATTCATACCAGAATATTCTTCAAGGTTGAATTTTGATTATGTAATTATAAAATTTAAAAGCATTTCTCTCTTCACCAATGTATGCAAATTCAATATTGATAATTAAATTTCAAAGCATGTCTACCCAAATGATTCACAATGTCCTTTTTACAATTATTCAATTAAAATATTTGTCATACAATCAATACGAGCATATTAATATTAAGATTCACTTTTTTTCTTCTCTTCTTTTCTGATGAAAGATATCACAAGGGAAAGCATATAGAAAAAAATATTTTATCCTTGAATATATACACATATTTTTCATAATTAAATTGATGAATATTTCATACCAACAATCATATTCCTAGTCGACGTGTAAATATGTTATGATATTTATTTATCGAGCAAAAGAAAAATATTCTTGATGTATATCACTTGTCAAGTATAAATTCAACCCATTACATGCTTTTACAAGACAACAATACTTTGAAATAAAAATATATATTAATCTACATATGTATTTCATAATAATGTAAATTACGTAAACGATAATAGAATATAATGAAAAAAGTAACTATTGATCGATTTAAATATTCATTAATCATTTTATTTGATTAAGATAAATCTTTTTTTATTAAGAAACAAACATCAAATCGAAATAGGTTTTCTTTTAATAAGATTACGACTAGATAATCATATTAAATAAGAGAAGTTTATCGATTTTTGAATCAAGTACAAGTATATACTTAGAAGTTCATTGAAGTCCTTAATGAAGCGAAAATAACAAGAGTTTTTTTCTATTGATAAGAATGTTACTTCTTTTCTATTGACTACATTGATCGATTTGCTTTTTAGTCTATACACATTCATTTATTTCGAAGAAGAAAAAAAAATGTTGCATAAATTAACTACGTAACATAGGTATTTCAAGTGGATTATTCTGATGAGAAGTTAACCGATAGCAGATAAAATGAGAAACTTTTATTTATATTACAATATGTAACTTTTTTCTTTTTTTGTAATAATAATTAATAAAAACATATATCCAATCAAAAAAGGAAATTATTTCTATTTATAAATAGCTGTAGGAAACTTTGTTGAAGAACATCATTGAACATGATTTTATATTCATCATGATTTGTGTCAATATTAACTATTCACTAAGGCTTCATATGAACACATAATATATTGATTTATTCTTTTTAAATATAGATCAAGTTGATCAAGTAAAGCAAAGAATTTCTCATCAGTCATATGATTAGGTTTTATATTTTGTGTACATTGAACAACAAACAGAATTCTCATCAATAGATTTCTTCGTATGAGAAAAAAAAAAGATGTATTTATTTGTCATTTGATTTAAGTATATATTTGTGTACTCTCTTCATCTTTAGCATTGGTCGCATCAAGTGCTATCACACAATCTTGAAATATATGCTATGAAAATCTATTGTTCATCAGTAATAGTAACAGCCAATGTTAATTTATACTTCTTCTTCTTCTTCTTTTTCACCCTCTCTCTCTTTTTTTTATATCATTCTTTCTTCTTTCTTTTTGTTGCTCTTGCGGTTTTCTTTTTTTTCCTTTCCTATGTCTCGTTCTTTTTCTATTGACGATGCTCTTCAAATTACTTTTCACTCTTTCTCTTCATGTTCTCGTTCGAAAACATTCACTCACTCAATTACTAACCACACATACATACACTGTTCTATAACATTGTCTGTCGCGTACTAGAACTTATACTCGTTTAACCACGCGAATAAACAAACGAACTATACATCGGAAAATTAATCTGTATTTATAATACGGTTTGTTCCTTTTTCTCGTTCTTTTATCCAGTTGGTCGGACATGTGGCATTAGATAAAACGATTCTATTGATACTATTTCTTTTTCTATCAACAACATTATTGTGTCATACACAAGAGACACTCGTCATTACTATTAATAATAAAATATATAGATCATAAACGAATGACCATAATAAGAATGTAATTATACTCAAATTTATATTCATTATGGGTATCGGTAATTGTCATCCGTGTGCTAAATATCTTCTTCTGGTTCTTAATCTTATATTTTGGGTATGTAAATATCACGAATATAGACTAAAAGCAAATAGTTGTAGATGGGATATATAAACAGGTGTAAAAATATATTTTTAACGTGCTAAAAAACTTGACATTGATTTTAAAAGCAAAGCATTTCTTTCTTTTATTCTATTCACAAAATGCTTTTTTCATTAATATTCATGTAATATATTATTTAACAAAGCTGAATCTATAATAAAAATTAAATGAGAATGAAAAAGTACATTATTTTTTTTTTTGCTTTTAACAAAAATAATTATTGACATTTTAGAGAATGAAATTAACGATTGAGAAACAGATTAATATACAATGACATGAGAGAGAAAAAAAATTAATTTCTTTTTGTTCGAAATTTTTCATTAATACTTTCTAATCCTTAAACATACTTACTGATTGTCTATATCTGTCTTTATTTTGTTACTGATCTAGTTAAGTGGTGCTGCTCTTATTGTTCTTGGTGTTTTATTCTTTACACGTCCTGAAGTACAACCTATAGTTCGTTTATTTAATTTAACTTCTATACCATTATCATCTATTGAAATAACAGCATTTTTTATCATTCTTTTTGGTATTATTATCTTTTTTGTTGGACTTTTTGGATTATGTGGTGCAATACGTGAATCACGTACTTGTCTGATACTTGTAAGTTATCATTATCATACAATAACAACAATAACAAAAAAGAAATATTATTTTTTTTCCCTTAGTATATTGTTTTGGTAACAACTATTCTTCTAGCTGAATTAGCTTTATTCACATATATAGCTATAAGTTATGAGCAATGGCATACAGTTATAAAACAACGTCTTGTATCACAAACGAAAAAATACAATTATGAACATCCAAGTCAATATGAACGAGCAGTAGACTATGTTCAAAGCAAGGTAAAATAAAAAAAAAGAAATAAAAGTTGAACTGTTACATAAGATGAAAGAAAGAACGAACGAACGAAATAAAAAGTGATGAACACAGTTGGTGCACTTCTATTCCAAAGTTCACATATTGTATCTGCTATAACATTAAAAAAGAAAGATTTTTATATTAAACAAATATTATTAAAAATAAGATCTTAGTATGACAATGACCATGATGATGATGATGATGCAATTGTTATCATTACACTTGATCAAAATGTAATTTTTCACTTTCTGACATATATACTTATGGATTAAGTTGAATAATGAACTTTCTTTCTTTCTTTCTTTTTTATTTTATTTCTTATTATAAAGCTTTTGGTCTTTGTCATCTTTATGTTGTTTACACTCTATAATCAAAAGGCAATTACAATTGAAAAAAAAATTACACAACACTTTCTCGACTAATATTGAACATTCGGAATATAAAAGACGAAATACAGTTCGATCATTTATGTTCTATTCTATCCATAAAAAAATTATTGACTAAGTAAATAAATTGACATCGATCATTTAACTATTGTCATTTATGATGCAACCCTCTGCTACTCGTTTCTGATTGTCCTTGAGTATAATTCACCATCTGTATAAAAGATTCTACGAGAAAAACCGTCAAGGTTATATGAAGAAAACAACGTGCTTTATTTCCCGCAGTGTCAGACATGTTGAATAAACATCGAGAAAAAAAACAGATGATCTTAAACAAGCAAAACTTAAAAGGTTTTTTTTCTTCTTTTTATTGTTCATATTTAGTATCATTGTTGTGGTATTGATTCGGCATATGATTACAGTGATTCACTTGTTCCAGTATCATGTTGTTCTATAACAAATTCAACATCGTGTACGATCAATCAAGTTAGCTCAAGTGGTATACCCGGATGCTTTCGTTTATTAACTCAAGGTACAATATATTGGGGAAAATTTTTTATTATCTTCGAATTAAGTTTATGTCTCCTTTCAGTGAGTAATCTTTTTTATTATTATGAGTTAAATCTATTTCTATTTTTTGAATAATCATTAGTTAATTGGAATTTTTCTTGCTATTTGTGTTTGTCAACATGCAATGCTTTATGATGGTTATATACAAGCACCATATCGTATTTAATGACAAGGACACATATTATACTTTAACGTCTTATCTTTAAATTTCCTTTTTTTTTATAGTTGATGGTGAATAGAAGAAAAAAAACTACTTTATTGTTTTTTATTCTTTTTCTTAAAGTTATTTACTTCTTTAATTTTTTTTTTCAATTCAGGAATTTTGTTGTGTCTATAAAAAAACATCTTTATGTATATTTAGAAAGTATTTAGAAATGAAAAGTGAACAAAATGAAAAATAAAGATACACTTCGTAGGATTCTTAAATAATAATAATAATAATAATCAATATGGATAAAGTAAAGAACAGTCTTGTCTTTTTATTTTTAATACTATTCGTAAGAAATATATGGATGCATATCTCTTAAGTGATTGATTGATGAAGCAGGAATCTCGACAGCGAATTGCTTGCATAATATAACTTGTCAACAGCTTGTCTATTGTTATGAGAAGAAGAAGAAAGAAAGATATTCGATGTAATTCGGTCAAGGATAATGATTTTATGTTATCAATATAAAAAATAAACATTAATATAATCGCTATTTAAATAAAGCTAATTATTAACTATAAAACTAAATGACTTTTATCATAATTTAAAAGTCATTAAAAATAAATACAAATATTATTAAACAATCTGTGTTTTTTTCTAATTTCATTAATTCATTGTTATATGATATATTATTATTAGTGAGAATTTGTTTGAATGCTTCATATGATTGATCATATTCGGTTGATGGCTTTCTATAAAACGGTTGATCTCTTTAATACTTGTTCTTTATAGATAATACTAAATATTATTCAAGGATAGACAGACATTTTTTTCTTTTCCTGTATTATGTTTTTTCTTCCATCATCTATCGTCTAACGTCCTTGTCTCATGAGATCTGATTCTATATATAGAATACAATGTTTTCAATTTTTTATAATTAACAAATTTTATACGCTCAGAGAAAGACATTTGATCGATTTCTCGAGAAATATAATAATTCTTTTTCTTTATTCAAATATTTATTATACACTTCGATGTTCTGCTCGTTTACTTCCATTTCTCAATTGAACTATTCAACTGACAAAGATTATTTTCAGTTTTTTTCTAATTCAACGTTAATTTCTATTTGCTTTCAATTCTAAATAAACATTTCCAATGACATTGGACAAACAGTTGTCAAGAACATTTTGCAATGTCAATAACCAAAATACATGGTTATGTTGTTAATAGCTCATTTATTGCTTCTTTTACTACAGCTGTAATAATTTATATATGCTGGAATATCGACAGTATCGTTTCGATTTTCACCTTGAACGAGTGAAAGTACTTTCTTTTAATAGTCATTAAAAAAGTGTAAATTTTCAAAGAAAGCAATCGTCAGACAGCAAACGACATTTCTTTTTATTGTACTAATGAATAACAACATACAAATTCTATTATAAAAACAAGTTCATAGTAAAAAAAAACATCAAGTTATTCTAAATAAAACTATTGCTTTTCTTTTTTTGTCAAAGAATTAATCTAAGAAAATCTTTTGTTATTTAATTTTTATCATGATTATTAAGAATATTTTTAATACAAGAGTTATTTTGCGTCAAGCAAACTCTATGCAATATATACATAACTAGATAAGAGTCTATTTCTAATATATATTTTTATTTTGAAAAAATATTATTTCCAGATTCCTGATGTTGATTGCTGTTGTTGTTGGGGTTGTTGTTGAGATTGTTGTTGCTGTTGTTGTTTTGGTTTATCTTTTTTAATTCGTGTTTTTGGTTGAGAAAGTCGTTCAAATAATTCAGTTGTATTACTTTGTTTATTATTATTATGTACGTCATAATCTAATTTTTTTTTAACTCCATTAGTTGAACTTGTTGTAATTGATGATTTATGTGGTCGTGGTGATGGTGAATGATTATTTAGAACTAAATCATCAACAACTGGTTTCAAATCTCTTTCAGCTAAATTTAATTGTTCGATAGATTGTTGTATATTTTGTAAAGATCGATTTGTTTTAGCTAATGGATGATCTAAAAAGAACTTCTAATAAATAAATGAAAATAAAGATTTGCTATTTACTATTGGATAAATTTTGTTCTTGATTTGGTGGTCGTTCAAGTAACATTTTAACATATCTCGATAATGATTCATTTGTTGATGATGTTTGATCATATTGTTGTCTTTCAATACTATCTTTAGAGATTGTTGCTTGAATTTCTTGTTGATTCTCAAATAAATTTGATGTTATTGAAGATGATGAACGATAAGTTGGAATTCCTTGTTGATGATAATGACTTGTATTCAAATTACTATCTAGACTATAGGAATTTGTTGATGGATGTTGTTGTTGTTGTTGTTGTTGTTGTTGTTGTTGTGGTTGATAGTTATGTGGGGGATGATTTGAAAATAGTCCATTATTACTAACATCTGTTGATTGGCTTCGATTAGTTAAATAATTATTATTTGAATGTTGAGAAGTTTGTGGATACCAATCTTGTAATGGATCGATTGGAGTCGAACGATAGAATGGTGATTGAAGAGCACTTTGTGGTCGAGATGATAATAAACGACTAGCAAAGAAAAACGATTATAAAACAGTTTAATTATATTTCTTTTTTTTATCAGTAAAACAAATATTTGAGTTTCATTGATTAAAAAAAAACGTATAGGAAAATTTACTTTTGATTATTATCATGCCATTCAGAAGTATTTTCTTGTTGAGATGATGATGGTAAACGAGAATTTAATTCGAAACCATTCGCTACTCGATTTGTTTGATCAACAAGTGAATCAATACGAGATGAAAGTGATCGTATAGCTGACATATTATCTGGATGATCGATATTAGTTAATGGTAACGAATGAAGAAATTCATTATTATTATTATTATTATTTCCTTTAACTTGTGTATCTATTAATCCTTGTGATTGCGTTTGATTATGTTGTCTTGATGATAATGGTGGTGGTGGTGGTGGTGAATTAATGATTTCATTTTGTGAAAAACTTGTTTTTGTTGTTCCTTGAAAAAGTGCTGTTTCAAAAACATCTTGTAGTTTTTTAGCTAAATCGTGTCGTTCAGCTTGCGTTGTTGATTGTATTCGATCGATTTCATTTTTCGTTTGATCGATTTTATTTCTTAATATATGAACACGATTTTCATGTTCATGACGTTCATTTGATAAAATTTGTTCATGTTTAGCATCTAAATCTAATAATTTTCGACGATGTAATTCATTTAATTCTTCTTCAATTTGAATATGTTTTTTATGTTGTTCATCAAGACGTTGTGTTAACTAAACAAAACAAAAATATCCAATTGAAAATAAATCATAAGCATTTATTCTTATACTTTTGTTTCTGCATCACGAATAAGTTGAATTTTAAGAGATTCAGTTTGTGCACGATATTTTGCTTCACGTAATTCAAGTTCCATTTTTAAAACATTCTTAAAAAAAAGAAGAATTGAATTTTTAAGAAATATTATTCTCTTTCTTGTAGAGAAGAGTTCAGTAAGAATAAATTGTCTGCTTGCTTGTGTGTCCGCAGGGTCAAAAAAACATCGAAAATCAATTTTTCAAAAAAAACATTTCTAGAGGTATTTTGATGCGGGAAGTTCAAATATGAGGTCTGTTGGGTAGCCATAGTCAGAGGGACCAAAGGTCAAAAAAACATCGAAAACCTATTTTCCAGTAAATGCGAAGAGGATGCATTTCTACGAGACAGAACTAAGCGAGTCCTCGGACGAGTGTTACTTGTTTATATTTACTAACATTTTCACGTCGTTGTTCATCAAGTTCATTTTCTAATTGTCGAACTTTATGTTGATGATCACTATTATGTTTATGTTGATCACGTAACATTTGTTCAATTTCCTGTTGTTTTTCGTCGGATTCCGATCGAATAATATCAAGACGAGTTTCACCATTTCTTAATTCATTACGTAAATCAGTTTCAACTGTAGACCATTGTTGTTTTGCCTTGAGCAAAAAAATAAATATTTAAATTCAATGAATTTTTAAAAATATTTTTTCTACCTGTTCAAAATCTTTAGTTAATTGTTGTATACGTTGTTCATATTGTTTAATTTTTGATTGTCCATTATCATAATCTTGTTTCATTTTTTCATTATCTTTTGTTAAACGTTCAATTGTTGAAATTTTTTCATTTAATTGTTCATCAAATTGTTGTTTTTCATTGGATAATTTCTCACGATTTGTTTGTTCAATTTGCTTTAATTGTTGTGTTAAATTATTTAATTTTAATTTATAATCATTTTCTTTTTGTTTCCATTCATCAACAACATTTGGTATCATTTGTTCAAGTTGTTTCATACATAAAGTTTTCTTATGATCATTTGCACGTAATTGTATTAATTCAGATTCAGCTTCACTTAAACGTTGTTGTTGAACATCAATTAATGTTTCTAATTGTTTTCGACGACTACGTTCACTTTCTAATGATGATTTATAATAGACTAATTCAGGATTTAATTCACTAAGAAGTTCTATAAAATAGAAAATTTATTAATAGAACAAAAGTATTTTTTAATTAACCTGTTCGTGGTTGTTGATCATCAATTAATGGTTGTTCATTAGCTGCAAGAGTATTTGTTCGACTCATTGAATGTAATAATTGTCGAGCATTTTGTAATTGTAATAAACAAGGTTCTGTTGCTTGTAAATCATTTGTTTGAATTAAACTACGAAAAATACAATCAAATAATTATATTTAAATATTAAAATTTACTCTAATTGTTCATTTTCTTTTTCATATAATCTATGATCAGGTGTTGATGTAACCATTGTTGATGAATGATGACGATGAGAAGAATTCACAGGATCATGAACATTGAAACCTTCGAAAAGTAAACGACGTTGAGTGCGATTCTGTGAATCATTTGTAATAGTTGTAAATGACGACATATTCGGTCAACTAGAAGAAACAGAATTTCTTTGACCGTAAAAAGTAAAGAACAAATAGTAGTAGTCAATTGATGGACGATTATGGTCAATTCTTTTGTCTGAATAGAAACCATTTCTGAATCGATCTCAAAGTAAACTCCTCTTTGTTTTTTAAAAAAAATAGAGGTCTCTGCTATACTTTGATTAGTGTCGACAATTAAAATACTTTGATGTTTTCATGAATGAACATATTATTAATAGAGAAATATCTTTAATAGAATCATTTGTAGCATATTTCCTGTGAAGAAAAAAGGAAATAACCGTATTTCCGTTAATTCAATTGTTGAAATCCAATAGAAAATAAATAATATATTTAATTAGAAATAGTTCTATCATCACTACTATAAGACTCTATTTTTTTGAGCGAATGATAATAGAGATACTATATTATACAATTTACAAATCTTTTTGTTTTTGAGTATCTACTCGATTTTGTGGTTACAAGTCCGTTATAATATGTTATAAGTATTCCTTTATTAGAGAAATATAATCACTAAAATGTATATCAAAACAAAACTTAGCGAACGATAACACTTTAAATAATATTGTTTTTAATGCAATTCGTTAGATTCATTGTAGCACAAAACAATTTTTTTTGGACACGAATTCATTATTGAGATTTTCCTGCATCACCTTGTTGTTCTTTGTAATGTTTAAGAACACGTGCTGATGGATCTGTTTGATCACCACACCATTTCGGAAGCCACATATATGGTATGAGATGTTCATGACCTGGATAGAGTTCTTCAAATATTGATCTATTCATAAAAATATTAAGTTAAAAAAAAAGATGATCATATTATTTTACCGATAAAGGAATGCTTCTTTAGTTTTTGGTGTATTGAATGGATATAATGTTGAAGCATTTTGTAAATCATTATCGGAAACTTTTGTTTCAGCATATTCTTGCATATATTCAAAAAGTGATTTTTTCTTTGCAGCAACACCATCAGAGAAAGCTTCTTTTGGTCGCCAAAGAATTTCTGATGGTATTAAATCAAGGCCATCGAATGCTTTTCTAAGTTTATACAAAAAAAAAAATTTTTTTTTTTTTTTGGATTTAGAAAATATTTATTTTATATTTTACCTTAAAAGATATTTTTCTGCTCGTTCTTTTGTTGGTGAACGTTCAGTTGGTGGTAATGAAAAATAATAAGATGAAAAAGCATGATCAAGAAATGGTACACGTAATTCTAATCCATGTGCAGCTGTTGTTCGATCAGCACGAAGTACATCAAAATAATGAAGATCATTACAAAGACGATGACTTTCTTTATCACCTTCTTCCGGTGTTGGTTGTCGATAGAAATAAATATAACCTTGACAAACTTCATCAGCACCTTCACCAGATAAAACAACAACAGTATCAGTTTTTTCTTGAATATATTTCGATACAAAATACATTCCAATCGAAGCTCGAATTGTTGTTATATCATAAGATTCAAGTGCTTTAATAACATTTCTTAAATGGCTAATTGCATCTTCTGCTGAAAAACGTATTTCATGATGTTCAGTTCCTAAATGATCTGCGACCTAAATGAAATTTTAGATATATTCGAATAAAATAAGGTTAAAAATTTACTTTTCGTGCAGCAAGTAAATCAGGACTTTGTTCATCCATACCAATCGAAAATGTTTGAATTGGATAAGTAATACCACGTTTACGAGCTTCTTGTACAGTTATAGCAGCTATTAAACTTGAATCAAGACCACCAGAAAGCATACAACCAATACGTCGATGTGACATTAAACGCATTTGAACAGCATTTATAAGATATGAACGAATATTTGTTAGAACATCATCTTCATTAATATATTAGAAAAAGCTTTTTTTTATTAAAAATCAGTTTTTAATTACCTGTTACTGTAACATTGTTAATATCATATTTTGGAAATGCTCCAATAGTATGAAAACGTTCTCGTTTAACAAATTCAACTTTTTCATTTTCATCTAATTTATATTCTTCATATGTACCTGGATCAAGTGGTTCAATTTTTAATGGTTTCTTTGATGCAACAGTAACACCTTTAAGACCTAAATACAATCAAAAAAAAAGTTAAATTAAATTTCAAAAAAAAGACAAAATTGAACCTTTTGCTTCGGATGACACAGCTAAAAATCCACAATCGGTAAAGATACGAAATGAAGGTCGAACACCAAATGTATCTCGACCAATAAAAACTTTTCGTTCTTTTGTATCGAATAATACAAAAGCAAAAACACCATAAAGTTGTTCACACATAAAACGTGCTCCTTTATCATTATATAAATGAATTAAGATTTCTCCATCACATGATGTTTCGAAATTATAACCAAATTTTTTTTGTGTCTAAATAATTAAATTAAATAATAAAAGAAAACACATAAACATTCGGGTTTTTTTTCTTTACTTCTCGAAAATTGTAGATTTCACCATTATAAGTCTAAAAACAAACAAATCTATGAATTTTCTTATATGATATATGTGCACTCAAACTAACCATCCATATATGTGGTAATGCATGGAGACGCATTGGTTGCATACCATAAATATCATCAACAATTGCAAGACGATGAAAACCAAAGACACATCTTGAATAATGATTAACGTTTTCAAAACGAAAACAATCAGGACCACGATGAGCGATATTAAAACAACCTGGTATTTGTTGATGGGTATCAACAGTTGAACCAAATATGCACCAAATTCCACACATATCAAGGTCTACAAACGAAAAGTACACGTTTTAATGAAATACACTATATGATTTATATCATGCGATTATATATATAAAGACACCCACACGCCACTAGTTAAAAACATTGCGTCAGACAGATAGACATATACAAGGTTTCTTCTTCCTTTTTTTCTATTTATACGAATACATCGATAATGCATGCGCACAATGAATGTGTAGTTTAATTTCATCAGCCTTGCATGAAAAGAAAAGAGAGAAAAAATAAGAAAACTATGATAGTCCAACGAACAACTGAAAATATATTCTTTTGAAATTGTAATAAGCAAGAAAGAAGAATAATATTTTTTCAAAGTGGAATTATATAATACAACTTATTATTCTTTTTCTATAATTTAAATAAGATATATTAAGGTTAAAAGTTCATTTATTTGTACTATACAAATTTTATTATAATTAAATAAACTAAAAATATTTAGCTATTTTAAATTGTTTCTAATTAACAACTGACTAATATTTTTTTTATTCACAAAATTAACAATAACACCTAATAGAAATATATAAATAAGATTATTGTAATACAATACTTCTTATCTATAAAAGATCAAATATCGTATTATTCAAAATATAATTAGAATTATGAATATCAATAGAAAATAGATCTTTTATTTTAACTAAATGTCTAATTGAAACAGTAAAATTACTTTGTACATAAAAAAAAGCTATACAGAACATCGTCTCATATTATACATCGTATTAAGAGAAGATGTTGATTCAGACATTTTATTTAAGCCACTTCGTTGTTGTTGTTGTTGTTTTTTCCATCTTGCACGTTTTTTTCTTGTTTGTCTCCATTCACTAAATGTTTCCATACATGTACATGAACATACAGATGTTTGACTTGAATTGAATAATAATTGTTGTTGTTGCTGTTGATTTGCTGTCATTTCAGCCATAACTGGTGTTATTGCACGTTGTTTACCAGTATTATTTGAACAAATAACATCACCTTTAAGTAAAACAGCTTGATTAGCTGCTTCTTCTTGACGAAGTTTTTCAAGTAAACGTTCTTGAGAATAAAATGCAACAATACGTATAACAAGTAAATTCATAGATGATGCAAGAACAGTAAGACCAAGAAAAATAAATGCCATACAAAAAAAATAATATTCAGCATGATAAACAAATTGTTTATCGCGATGATTTTTTTGCTAATTTAAATAATATACATATATATAGTTATTTAATAAAATAAAAAAAACTTACTAAAACAACAAAATCACCAAAACCAATTGTTGTTAATGTTATAAAACCATAATAGAATGAATCAAAAAATGACCATTGTTCATATTTAGAAAAAACACATGCACCGATTAAAAGTATAACGATAGATAATAATGATTCAGCGACAAGTAATTCTCCATCAGTTATTTTTGTTTGTTTCATATGTAATGTATGTTTAAGACGTGCAAGCATATAACTTAAAAGTGAATTTAATCGTTCACCTGTCGATTGAAATGTTATTAACCACATTGGTATACCTAACATCGCATAAAGAATACAGAAAATTTTTGCACGTGATGTTAATAATGTTCGATGACCATAACCAATAAGTGCTAAGACAACAGTTGAAAAATAAAAACTATCATAAAATTTCCATTTATGACGAACAATTGTTTTATTCACAATTAAATCTGATAATTGACGAAATGTTTCATTTGTCATATTATGATCAAGTTTAAATTGAGCAAATTTTCGTTCAAATCGATATTTTCTTTAAACAAAAAAGAAGAAAAATCGTTTTTTCTTTATTCTAATGAACGAAGAAGCCAACAAAATTTAATCCTTACCGATCCGTAAATGAAGCATCTTCAAGTGCATCAAATACACATGCACCAATAATTAAATATGTAAATGTGCAAACAATAAGTGCAGCTGTACGAATATTTTTTTTTTGTACTTGAAATGGATCATTTAATTCTCCCGTTGTGATTGGTGTTTGACCAGCTGTTGAGACTTTTTCTCCTGTTGTTTGAATAAGTACGCCTGTTTTTGCCATTTTTAATAGACTTTATAATACTTATGTCACGTTTTAATATTAACTAAAAATATATTTTATGAAAACATAATAATGATCAAAGAAAATAAGAATAGAAATAAAGAAAACAAAAGAGTTTTGTCTAATAATAGAAAAAGAAATTTAATAATAGACAATATAAATATTTAGCTATTAGAATGAAAATAGAAACAACAATTAGAGCGACTAACTAAAGCTGTTCTTTTTTTTCTCTATATATTCGTCATTTTTCTTTCAAAGTGTAATTACCCTTTTTGAGTTGCGCGATTAGGCGCTTGATGAAAATTGCGTGACTACAAAATATCGAGTGTTTGCTCGATTGTGTTGTCACTATTCGTCTTCCTTTTATTAACGTTTTCTTCTTATTCCTATTCTCCTTCTTCTTCTTCTTCTTCTTCGTTTTCTTTCTCGGGTTCTTTTTTTATGGAGTATATACAGGTAGACAGTAATAGCTATTCAACTCAATGTTTTTATTACTATTATATGAATATTTTGCGTTCGCATTTCATAGTCAGAAACGGAAACACAACGGACGATGTTCTCTCTCCGTTACTATTGTCGTCGTCAGTTTAGGAACGTGCGTCTTCATTTAAATAGTAACAAAAAAAAAAGAAAGAACGGAATTAATAGTAATAAAAAGTAGTAGCACATAGCGCATATAGACTCATAGTTTCATATTATTATCAAAGAGAAATGAATGAAGTAGCTAAAGTTTGTATTTAGATTTGAATGGCTAGAAGAGAAGTGCCGGAACAAAAGCAAAGAAAGCTAAAAAAACGCAAATAATTGAATGTGATGAAGCATGTATCTATTATTCCGAATACTCACATTGAACACATTGTGTAATCAGTTTAGAAATCAATGCGCGCACGCACATCTATCCTGTGGTTATGCATGTGAATGAATCGATTAATGACAACAAACTGTTCAGCAACACAAGACGAAAACGACGTCAATTGCAACGATCGGCAACAACAACGACAACAGCAGCAGCAGCAGCAAACATAAGATCTTGCGTGTGTTGATCAAAAAGACATTAGTAGTGATGATAAAAGACGAAAGAAGAGAAAGAGAAAGAGGAGAAAGAGAGAGAGAGAGAAAATCTCGAATGAGGAAAAGACAGCAAACTATATAGTGGTGTAAAATGAGGCTAATTTAATTTATCAACAGATAGTCGATTGAACTAGAGAGAATGATAAAAGATGAAAGAATGACAGTAATAGCTATACTCTTAATATAACATCTTTTCTAGGAAAAGAAAAGATATAAAATGTAAATTAAAATAGACCGCACAGTTTGCTATATAATTAAAAGGATATCATTTTCTGAGATATTCATGTTACTTAACCCTGTCATTCATAGAAGAAGAAAAAAAAATAACCTTTTCCTTTTGACAATTTATATTATAATTTCTTCTAGGTGACAATTGATAAAGATCATAATGACTATAGAGAGTTATTTACTTCTAATGTTGTTTGACTTACTCATATAGAAAAAAAAATGCTTAGATAGAGAATACAGATATCTGGATCTATATTAACATAATGCCTTAGTCTTGATTATTTATGTTATTATTTGTTCTATTTTTCTTATCATTATCGTATTCACTTTGTAAGATTCTTGACATCGTCATAATAAAAGAAGAGTCAAAATCGGCTATCGATAACTATATGCTTGTTCATACAACTATTGATAGACAAATTTTTGTTGCCTAAAGCAATAACAGGACTATTTCAAAAAAAAACACATTAGCAGAGTGAGACTTAGTTTTCTTTTCTCTCTTTCTCTATTACAAGCGAGAGTAACATCATCATTAACAACGTTTTCTTTCGTCGTCTTGAGTAGGAACTTAGCCAGTGATAGAAGACATACGTTGTGTAATATACACGAACATTGAGACGATTAACTCAGCTGTTATTGGAAAATGATAGAGAAAAGAGAAGGCCTTGTCATATGTAGATAGGATATCATACAACAATATTCCATATTTGTCAAGCTTGAAAAAACAGCAAGAAATTGTCTCATATGTCAGTGGACAGATTCCTAATTTATTATCTATAGTAAAGATTAATAATAAAAATAGTTATATACAAAAGAACAACAAAATGACATCAGATCTATACAAGAAAAGAATAATATGACATATGATCAACAGTCAGTAATCTTCTTTTTTCTTTCGCTCTCATGCATCATGTTTTCTATTCTTTTCAAAAAAAAAGAAAAAATTATTCATTTAGTTATAGTCTACTAAATTCTTATTAACTATTTCATACTATAAATATACTAATAATTAGACACATTCATTCATAAGATCATCTTAATAGTATTGGTTCGTTCTTTTTTATAGTTCAAGTAGAATTAATTCTTCTAAAATATGCAAAAGATCAAGTGAATAAATAGCATATGTTTAAATATAGTTGATTTGTAAGAGACAAAGAAAATGTCAATTTGATGACAAATAATATTGTATATATTATCAAGAATTTTCTTTGAAGATATACAAAAAATTGTTTGATTCATATTTCATTAACACTAATTAGAAAATAAATAATTAATTAACTTATATATTTACAACAGCTAAAATATGTTCAAGATCAAATTAATTCTTATTATATATTAAGTCGATGTATATCATCAGTTTTACCTAGATATAAATGATGAAGAGAATAGAATTGTTTGTCTACTCTACCTTTCATTTATAACCGTAAAAAAAAGAAAAAACCTCCAACATATTTGTTATGTGGTGTTGGTAACTGTGGTAAATATTTTACTACCGTTCTCTTTCTTCCTTTTTCTTGTCACATTGCAACAAATTTTAGTCTTGAAATCATATTTTTTTTTAACTACAACTTCTTTATGGCAACTCGTTCGCATTCTCGTTTTACTGATGATGTATTTTGTACACCAGTACCTACTGCGGCAGAGATCAATATTAAAACTGTAGATACACTTCGTGATGAAATTTTTTTTTCATTGAATTCGAATGAACAATTTCGAGCAGGTTTACATACTGCAGAAGAAATAAAATCAAGAGAATTATATGAAAAATATCCACCAAATTTCAAACATGAAAATAAAATTTTCATTTTTGATTTACTCAACAAAAAACATAAGTATTCACCATCAGAAGATAAGTCTATATTAATTACAAGATGGAAACCATTTGTACCATTTATAGAAACCACTAATTCAATACAAACAAAAGTTAGTTATCATAAGGATGTTTTTGATTATGAACCAATTGGTGATAAGGAAACAACAGTTGAATGGTATTTAAATTTTGCAAATAATGATTTATTTGGATATTATGGAGGACGTTTATTAGCTCAAGATGAATTACAAGTATTAGAATGTGTTGAGTTAGCTGCTTTAAGAGAATATCTTGTTCAAACAACAAATACTGTTGGTTCACATACAGTAGGTTCAAGTGCAGATAATAGTAAATCAGTACCAACTCCTAGTATGTTTTTCTTGAATAAAAAAATTCTAGTTTTTAAATTTTTAAACTCTAGTTCTAATAAGTAATGTTGAGCGAGTAATTGACTTAAATACAAAACACATTTATGGTAATGCTTTTGCTGATGCAAATAAAGCGCAACTTACAGAAGCATTTCGTGCAGTTCAACCACCTCAAATAGTCAATTTAATTGCAATTGAAGCACCAAGTCATGGTGAAGGTTCTTATACATATGATCAAATCCATTTTATATTATCTACTTCTTATACGGGTTTTAAAGCAGCACAAATACTTGCCAATAAAACACATTCAATGAATAATCATCAGTCTAGTTCAAAAACATTGCGTACAATAATACATACTGGTTGGTGGGGTTGCGGTGCGTATGGTAATAATCGACAGATGATGCTTATTACGCAAATGTTAGCCGCTCAATGGGCACAAATTGATGAGATTATTTTTCATACACAAACTGATGAACACCAAGATGATATTAATCAGGCTGATAATATTTTTAAGAAGTTAATTGAAGTCAAAGAAGTTAAAGAAGTTATAGATGAAATTGTTAAATTAAATCTGCAATGGGAAAAATCGAATAATACATAAAAATAATAGTGTTTTACTTTTGTTTACACACAAAAGTATTTTTTTAATGATTTTTTTTGTCTATCTTTCGAATAAACAAAAAGCACATTAGTTATTCGAGTCAGTAACTTATTGATTTTGTACTCTATGATACTGGTGGCTATATAGATTGAAATAGAAATTTATTATTATCTCGTTGTTAATAAAACAATATATGTGATTATTTGAGTAAGATTGAAAACTGTTTATAGTTTTCAATCCTTCATAATCACCTTATGAAAGATTATAAATCTGTATTGTATTTATTACCTTTGTGATGCTTTATATTAGTATAAACTATATCATTAATCTCAAGGTTTGTATTTATTAGAATGTTTTCAAATAATTTTATTCGATCTATTCAATCTTATCTACATGTTCGGTATTAACAAAAATGAATTGAAAGGTTATATTTAATTTTTCTCTTGTTAACTATTCATCTTCTCAAAGTGATGATTTCATATAGTATTCGAACGTATAAATATATGTAATATAATGTACCATATTTCAATGTTTTTATTCTCTATAGAACTATTACCATTATAGATAATTCAGTCATAGGTTGGTTAATGTTTTATTAAGAAAAATGTCATTGATATTTTTCGACCGTTTATATTAAATATTTCGTATTAGAAACTTATCTTTAAGGCGAATGTATAAAAATATTTTCATCTCAATAGTGTTTTGCCTTCAGATATCAAATAACCATGTTTTTGAGCTTCCAAGAATACACTTACTAATATACATCTGATATATTTATATAAATATTAATAAAATAATTTCTTTCTACATATATATTTGACATACTTCAAATAGAACAGTAAATGTCATTATTATCGACGATCCATCCCTTGTTGCTCTCCAGGGATTTGACTGATTTTATTTCTTCAAGAAATAAGATTTCTCGGAGAGAAAAAAAGGAAGAAGTTTTAGTTTTCGATATATAACTATTACTAATTATTATTCTAAATTGTCTAAAATCGAGAAAACACGTAACTCGATATTATGTGCTGTATGATAATGATACATCTGTCTGTCCTTGATTTTATTTATATGTCATGTAGTACAGTATATAACAACGTCTTCTCGTATTATCTAGAAATATGTATATATACACATACATATACTTGATAAATGTACTGGTGAAACAACCGATAATAAATAGTCAATATAAATTTGTTGTTCTGATATAGAAAATCAAATTTTCTCAATTAAAATAAAAACAATGGGAACATTTTCTTTGATTTTTAATGTACCTGTATGTAGTTTTCTAAGGTCACAGTATTATTATTATTTATAATTGAGATAATAAATCTTAATTACTATCTACTTTTGTCTGACTATATTAAATGAAAGGATAGAATGAGTTTCATAACAGATGAATTCTTTTAGTACTTAAAAAGTCTTAAATAATATAAGCTTTATTTATTTTAAATTTCAATTCAAATAATAATCCATAAAACTTTATACTTCAATAGTTGTAATCATAAGTATGTTATAACTGTAAAAATACGACTTAATGATTATTGAGTATACATTTATTTGAAATAATAATCAAAAAACACATCGAAATGTTCTCAAAAGACAAAAGTTGCTTTATTTCTTAAGCAATGTTTGTTTCGAATTTCTTCGGCTTCATATTAATCATACATTGGTTTTACTATTTTTATAAGTAGGAAAAGCAAGTATACAATCAACAAAAAAGAAGAAGATCTTTACAGAAGTTTCTACTGATATATAATAAATCTCAAATATTTTATTAATGCGATGTAATCAGAATAAAAAAATGCAAAGTAACGAATAAAAAAAAAGAATATGAGATTAGTTCAATAAAATATATTTCTTTTCTCTGTGTGTGTGTGTAGTCGTCAAAGCAAGAAGAAATGAAATCAACACACCTATTTTAAACAAGTATGCAAATGTGATTTATTTCTGTTTCTTTTTTTTTTGCCTTTTTTTATTTTATTTTATTCTTTCATTCTTCTACTTTTTTTTCTTATTGTCTATGGCAGAATAAAATTACTAACGAGCATGTCAAACATGCAGTAATGGTGATGAAGCAAACATAAGATTTATAAAAATAAAATATATAAACAAAACTTGATTGTAATACATACATTTTAATGTTTCATATAGATGCAATCTCAAATTGAAAGTGAACATTCAACATTACGTAAGAATCTTATTACAATAGATCGACCTGATTCGTCACAAGTAAGAAATCTAATATATATTAATGAGATATTTATATATACTAAGATATTTAGCTTGTCGATCTACATGTTTATATCATACCAAAAAGTATTTGGAAAGAACATAAAAATTTAGCGGAAAATGATGCGATTGAACAAGCAATATCAGCTGGTTTTGTTCGGTAATATTATTTAAATGAAGAGAATTATTCGGTGTAATATTAGTTGTTTTTCTTTTAAGTGTATCACAAAATTTAACAATACATGATCTTCGTCAACATATTCTTGATGTTTGTGGACAAGAAAATGAATTTCCAAAAGAATTTATTTATCTTCGAAGTGTCGGTCGATGTTTAGCGAAGGTAAAAATTATATAAATAAATTTTAATAAGTTTTTTTTTCTTTAGGTTAAACCTCAACAAGAAACTGATCTCCGAGTAAAGAATTATCGACCACCTATAGTTCGTATTTTATTTTTTTATATCATATTTTAGTTATAATTAAATGAATTCTTCTATTTTAGACAATTGCACCTGAAGTAAATATATATTTATTTGTAGAAATAAATTTTAATTTATCAAATCATTCAGATATTTGTTGTTGAAGGACATTATGATGATGATTCATCAATGTCAAGTAAATCAAAAAGTTTTCTTGCTCGTGAATCACCTATTGAACATTCATCGGACACACCACCACACATAACGACAAGTCGTCAACAAAGTTTGATGGAATCTATTGCCGAATCACCAGCACCACCCATAGCAACAGAAAATAATTCATTTGGTGAACGACAAAATTCAACAATTCTCAATAGATCAGCTCATTCTTCTTTGTCAACGTAAATATCGAAATAGCAAACAAAGAAAAAGAAAAATGTCTTTTTCTTTCTTTTCTTTTTTTAAGCTTCTCCAGAGCTTCAAGTACACTTAGTGCAAGGTAAAATATTACAATATTAACAAAAAAAGAATCGATAATCTCACACTCTATTGAATATTTATTACTGTAGAGATTTATCAAAACTAAGAGAAGAACAAGAACGTCTTCGTTTACGTCAAATTGAATTAGCACGACAACGACGTCAAATTGAAGAAGAACAAAAACGACGTGCACTTAATAATGATAAGGGAAGTTCTGAAAGTGAAAATGAAGAACCAACACGCGATATAAAACCTGAAAAACAAAATCATAAAACTGAACCGGAAAAACCGAAACATGAAGAGAAAAAGCCTGAAATTAAATACGAAGAAAAAAAACCTGAAATCAAACATGAGGTGAAAAAACCTGAAATTAAGCACGAAGAACCTAAACATCAAATCGAAAAAGGCGATCAAAAACATGATAAAGAATTACATACTAAACCAAAAAATCTTTCTCAAGCTCAACGTGAAAAAGAAGAAAAAGCAGCTGTTAAAATTCAAGCTGGTTATCGAGGTTATCGAACTCGTCGTAAAATAAAAGAACAAAAGGAACGAGAGTAAGTATTGTTATTCTTATTTTGATTTCCTCAATCAATATTTTAACAATATATAAAATAAATTTTCTCATAATTCAGTAATCACAAAGCTATACATGATAATAAACAGAGGTTGTATGATTAGTCATTTATTTTTCACATATTTAATTTAATTATTGTTGATGATGATGTTGATTGTGCATTAACACTATTAAAATGATGCATATATCAATATCAAATTTTGTTTGTCTTACATTTGTTTCTATTGACATATTACTCATAATATTCACTATCATATATATATGTATATAAATAATCCTTATTAAGTCTTATTCCCTTCACAGTGATGATGATGATGCAGCTCGAGCCGTGCAACGAACATATCGAATACAAGTATTTGATAACACCGATACGTGAACTGTTGACAATGCATGAAAAAAATTTTGTTGTGACTAGTGATTGTTGTACTTTTTTTAGTGTTTTCTATAGAAACAAAAAAAAGAAATAAGTTTCGAACTATCTACGTTTCAGAATATCAAATTTTGTTAAATATCGAGGATTTTGGTCACCAGAATTAGAACATGAACGAATACGATCATCAAATAAACAGAGAAATCTCTATTCTATATCATTTGAAAGATATCAATCTTGGAGAAATGAACATCTATGGTCAGCATCATCTTCTCCTAAAAATGAAAATATCTTTACAAAAAAATCTGATATCAATCAGCCTTTTGGCTTTTCATCTTTCAGACTTGATGCACATGCAATTGAACGTTTACTAAAAGAAGCACGTGAATTAGCTCGTCGTAAAGCTGAAGACGAACATGCTGAAGAAATCGAAGCACATGATGGTAGGTTATTTATTTTGTATATAGATCATATTTTCTAGATAATTATTCTTTTTTTCTATAGTTTTAAAACTTTCAAAACGTCTCGAAGAAATCAAAGCAAAACGTATTGAATTAGAAACAAATCGAGAAGTAATTATTCGTCGAATGCAACAAATTCATGCACAAATTACTGTTCGTCGAACAGAAGGTTCAACAAAAAATATTTTTCTATTTCTCAGATAATATTCTACTTTAGAACGAGATTTATGGAAACAAAAATATCTTGCCGAAAAGAGAAAAACAATTGAACTTGAAGAAAAAACTCACATGGTATCAGTAAGAATAGATATCTATATCCATTGATCTATTATTCTATTAATATGTTTTTTTTCCATTTAGAAAGATCAACCAGATATGAATTCTAAAATTGAACAAGCTAAAATTCGTTTAAATCACACTACGAAAGTATAATAAAATAATATGTGAAAAGAAAATTTTAATTTTTACTTTTCATTTTATAAAGCTTCGACAACAAGCTGAAAACGAATGTCATCTTTTGAGACAAGAATTACAACAAATTCGTTCAAGTATGAATCCTTTAGAAAAACATCCAATATTAAAACAACTACCATCTTCACAACAACAAAAGATACCAGTTACATTTGACAATAAATCGCAATATTAAATTCATTTTTATATTTTATCTGTTTTCTTCTTTATAACAACAAATTCAAAAATAAACAACATGAATTGTATTTTAAAAGAATACGATCGAGGTCTTACTATATACACAAGGTGTCGCAGAAGTCATGATAACTTAAGGAATTCATTTTTCTCTCTTATTGCTAAAGTGATATTAGTATTGTTTTTTTATTTTATAAAGGAGAGAACAGCAAGTTACTTTTTGACACGAGCCAAGTTTAAAAATACTGCTCAGAAATTCGATTTCTTGAGTTATTCTATTGATAAGAGATACCTCTACAAAACGAAGTCTAATAGTGATCCACCTCTTGTTGAAGGCATCAATACGCCGAGTGCCGAGTGCTTTTGCGAGAACAGTGATAGGATTTTTTCTAGACAGATTGACCACGTGCATACTTCTCAAACGCGCTCTGTATTTAGATTAACCATGTCTTCAATAACAGATGAATCACTATTAGACTTCTTTTGCAGAGACATCTCAAAATAACAGAATAACTCAAGAAATCGAATTAATTTAAAAAGAAACTTTTTGTCATCTATTTTTAAAAATTGTAAAACGTCTACATTTTTATGCTAATGTCAAAGATAATATTTCTGAGTCGTATTTTTGAATTTGGCTCGTATCAAAAAGTAACTTGTTATTCTTCTAGAAAAATTAAAAAAAACAATTACTAATATCACTTTGGTAACAACGGAGACAAATCAATTCCTTAAGTGATCATGACTTTTGAAACATCCTGTAGTCGAATATTTTGTTTTTGTAGAACAATCACAATCAAATAATGATAGTATACTAGTATATTTTATTATAAAAAACAAATTTTTCCAAAATACTGAAAATTATAAAATTTAGATCTCGTTTAATCTTACTATAGCTCAGTAATCAAGTACAATAACGAATGTACAATCTAAACGAAGGCAAAAACAGAAGATGATTTGATATAACTCAATACATATAATGATAAGATTTCTTTCATATCTATAAAATTGAGAAGACACTTGAAAAACACACTAGTTTTATTCAATAGATTTTTTATTATTCTCTTCTATCGGAATCGAGATATATATTCTTGTATAGTATTTCATAATAAAATCCATCAATGATGATATGAAAATTTCTATCGAATAAAACAAAACGTTTGTATTCAATGATCTTGTCTGATGACAAACAATAAAATATATCAACTACTGATCATCCTAACAAATTTCTATTTAATCCATAGACAAACACATATGTTTGTAATGTGATAGTATAAGATGACCGATTGTATTCATTGTTTCTTTTTTTTCTGTCTCATCATTAAATATGAACTCTGTATGCATATCATACAAAAAGAGAGAAAAAAGAAAATGATTTACACACATATAAACGTTTAAAGAGTCAGAATTATATTATACATGTGTAACATGGAAAATGAGAGAGAAATCTATAACGAACAAAGGTTTGAATGCGGAAAAAATAAAACATACAAATAGAAAGAACGAAAAAAGAAAAGAGATGTTTATGATATAGAAGAAATTATACATGTATTGCAACCAGATCGATCACCTCAAATACTGACTAGAACGAATAAAAAGAGATAGATAGAAATAAAATTATGTCTCTCGTTTAAGTCCATTTAGAAGAGGCATCGATGTTGGTTGTAAAAATGGATCAAAATAAGGATGATGATGATGGTGATGATGATTATGTTGAGATGGAAAATGAGGTGGTGCTGCTATTGGATATCGTTGATGAGAAAATTGAAGGAAAGAAGCTTGTGGTGATGAAGATGATGATGATGAGTCTTTTCTTGAAGAAGTTGTTGTTGTCATTCCTGCCGCTGCTGCTGCTGCTGCTGCTGTCATCATTGCCATTGGTACAGTTCCGTTTGTTGATGATGAACCACTACCATTGGAACTCGGTGGTTGTTGATGCATTAATATACGTGATTTATTTTCTTCATCTGAATCAATTGAAATACCACCACGATGAGGTGAATGATTATCTCCATTTGTATTATGTATATTTCCTTCTTCTGAATGTTCAATCATTGGTATATCACAATGTTCAATACCATCATCTGAACCATCAATATTATCCGTATCATCTTCTTCACTCCATGGATCACCACCAACTGAATTTGGTCCTGCACATGCTGTTTCATCTTCTGTATATCGAAGACATTTTTTCTTTCGTCTAGAAAAAATAAAGAATAAAGTTGAAAGATCTTTTAAAATATATATATTTTTTTTCTAATCAACATACTTGCAATGTTTACACCAATTCGATTGTTGATCAAGTCCAAATCTTGCTCGACATTTTTTCTGATTAAGGCATTCTAAATAAAACAAAAAACCCTTACGTTAATTATTTTCTAAAACTAATTTTTATTACCGCCATTTTCACCTTGACTTTTTTCTCGTTTTTTTCCTTTACTTCCACGTTTCTTTCTTGCACCATAATTATCTCGAGCTGACCATCCAGGATACAATTGCATATGTTTCATACGTTCATCTCGTGCCATATCATAATATTTCTGTTGAACATTACGATCAAGTTCATGCCACTAAAGATAAAGAACAATTTATTTTTGTTTTGTTATACTTTTTTTTAAAACTATACTTTTCGACCAAGAATTTGATTTATTGCTGCACTTTCACGTAATGTACATTCTTGTACAACTTGTGCTCGTTGTTCTTTCATAAATAACATAAAAGCATTCAATGGTTTTTTTATATGAGGTTTTTTAGGTTTCTTTTCATCATGAGACATTGAAAGTTTATGATGTTGCTGTTGTTGAGGACTAATATCCATAGATCTTTTGTCAAATAAATAAAAAATATATAAAAGAAAAATAGTTCTAAAACTACCTATGTGTTGTTGATCGTTTTTGTCCTAGTGGGCTATTACTATGGGATGCAATTGATGATGAATGTCCACTAGGTGTATGTGTTGATGGTGAACCATGTGAGAGAACAGCTGGAGAAAACGGATATCCAGGTGGAAATACAAATGGAAACATAGGTGGTCGCCTAAAGTTATGAAAAATAATAATAATAAACATTAAATAATCTATAAATAGACAAACCAATGTTGTGCATAAAGTGATTGAAATGAAGATGGCGATGATAATGAATACATTGAATTAGGTACACCTAAATAAACGTACATCTATTTATTTCATATAACTAAATAACCTATATATTTTTTGCACTTGATCATTTTCTGCTTTAATTTATATTCATTTCAAAATAGTAACATTTAAATAATTAAAATCTTTTTTAAGGACATAAAAGTCTGTAAATTATCTTCATATAATAGATAATATAAAAAATGTTTCTTTTTAATTTATAACTAACTAAATCTTGGTGCTATTATAAAATATCAATGAAAATGTCTTTCATCATTTGATAATAATAAAATATTTACTAAGCTTTTCTTCTTTTTCAAATGTCGGACACTAGAGTATTTATCATGTAAGAATAAAAAATACATTATTGTAAGGATAAACTTTCTTTCTTTTTAATTATTTTTCAAAAATAGACAAACTATTGTATTCAGTTTTATATTCTATAACTAGAATATTGATTATTAAATTGAGATTGTGTAGTCAGTACACAATAGAAACTAACGCACATCACATTGAACATTCTCTTTTATTCTCTTTCGTTTTTATTCATTGTCTTGTGTCTCGTTAATAAGATCATTTTCCACTTTGTTACACGTCGACCGACGATATGTATGTCGATTAGTATTGCATGAACGATTGTGCGAGCACACACATTCGCTTGTTTGCTCGTATTTGCCCACCTTTTTCTCGT